TCTAACTTTTTTAACCTGAAAAAATAATCTGCTAAATGCTAACGAAATGCTGCAGAGTCTAGAATCGAAATGAAAATCTGCATCTTCTTATTGGCTATTGCACTGTGCAGAATCTGTATATTTCTACTACATAAATGAGAGTAGAACTGTAAAATTAAAACCCTCTTATTAGTACATCTTTCTCTTTTGGTCAAATCAGTTTTATGGTTGTAATGCTGTGACCTTCTAACTTTTTTAACCTGAAAAAATAATCTGCTAAATGCTAACGAAATGCTGCAGAGTCTAGAATCGAAATGAAAATCTGCATCTTCTTATTGGCTATTGCACTGTGCAGAATCTGTATATTTCTACTACATAAATGAGAGTAGAACTGTAAAATTAAAACCCTCTTATTAGTACATCTTTCTCTTTTGGTCAAATCAGTTTTATGGTTGTAATGCTGTGTAAAACTATGTACTACAGGTATTATTAGGAAGACAAGAACAGTCATGGAATGCCTTCATCGCTTTTGTAGAGAGTGCATTGACAAATCCATGCGCCTTGGGTAGTGGTTCTTCTTATTTGTCGACTAATTGTTGAACGAGTCCTAGCTATTTACTTTTGTCCGTGGAATTCAATGCAGGAACAATGAATGTCCTGCTTGCCGCACACATTGTGCTAGTCGTCGTTCTTTGAGAGATGATCCAAACTATGATGCCCTAATTGCTGCTTTATATCCAGACATTGATAAATTTGAGGAGGAGGTATCTGTGGACAACTTTCTGGACTCTTGTCTTGGTATTCTTTAGTTTAATTTGCCTTGTATAACCGCTGATCTATTCATTGTTGCAGGAATTTGCTTTTCACGAAGAGGAGAAGGCTCGCAATAAGCAGGTAAATGATACCAATGCTCGAGTTTAATCTCATGCAGTTCAGTTAAATTTATGTTATAAGGGCTTTATTTTCTGATCTGTGTGCCACAATTGATATGTGAATGATTTATTGTTTCCCCTATCCCCTTAAAAACAACTGAAAATTTTCCTAGCTCCTTTTTTGGCTGACAGGGATTTGTAAATTTCTAATAAATGTCAAAAGGAGAAATCATCAGTTGCTTGTGAATATTGCAATAAAATTAATTCTCAAAAAATAACAGCTATTAAATGTTTCCTGAAGTTTCCATACTAACCCATAAAGAATTTAACTAAAAAAAAATTAAAAATAAACACATTTAGCCCGTGTTTGAGCCCCATTTTTCTCATCAAAATGGATTCTTGAATATTGATTTGACCCCATTTCTATTGCACATTCTTAAATAAAATAATATTACAAGAAAACCCAAAATTTTTTCTTATTTTTAACCGCACATGACTTCGTAACACTATTACAAAATGCATTTTTTTGGGAAAAAATGGGGCTCAAACAACCCCTTACTTTACTTAGCCCATGTTTGGCCATAGTTTATAATTTGTTTATAAACTGTCAAACCATTTTTCATCCGTATATTTCATAGGACCCACAAGTACTAATATACCACTCATTTCCATCTATTTATAAATTAAGAAAGGAGAAATAGAGATAAAGAAAGGGGGATGTTATAATTATTAGCATTGCCATTCTTTGGTGGTTTGCATGCATATCATAACATAGAATTGAAAGCTCGTTGACATTTCTAGCTCTGAATTGACAACCACCAAAATTCACCTGCTTAATTTTTCTTTTTTGCTTTCATTATACAGATCCAAGCTTCGATTGCTCAGACTTTGCGACGACAATCAGAAGCATTAGGAAAGAAACGGATGTCAGCCAGATCAACAGCGCTGAAATTTTTTAGGGGACAGGGCACTTATAGAAACTTGAGGGGCCGAAGAAATCCTCGGGTTGTTGAGCATCAAGGATCTGATGAGGAGGTGGATGGTAATGGGCATGATGGTGGCAAAGACTCATCTTCTGCTGATGAACGCAGCACAGAAATCAAACCAAAACGTCACAAAAGACGTGTCAGTGCTCGTGATTCACAGATTTCAGCAGGAGGCAATACTGATGCGGGTTATGATGAAAATGATTCAGAACTGAACAGAGAGTTAGTGGGTGCTTCAGCTGGCCTTGTTGGCAGTTCAGAGATCCGTGCCTGGGGAAAAGGTGGCATGCGCAGTCACACCCGTCGTGGCAGTCTCAATGGGGCCAGTGGCAAGCTGGCCAGGAATAGCCGACTTCGAAAGCTAATTGATCATCTCCGATGTTCAGATGAAAATTATGAGGCGGTAATACCTTGACGATCTTTTTCTCTTAATCCAAGTTTTAATTTAATCTTTATTGATATAAAAGAAAGAGTAACAATAGATAAAGATGCAACGGCCATTTTGTTTTCCCTCAATATACGGAAATCTAAAAGATCCTAAGACCATTTTCTAATTCAAAATCACCTGTTGCTGCTTAAATGTTTGGTTTTCAAATCATCCATATAGTTTCAGCACTTTTCTATTGAGTTTCTCTTATTAAATTACAGGTGTTTCTTCTTGTTTCAGTTAAATATCAATCTTATGCTTGTTTCGTTGCATGAGGAGAAAATTCCGAGCCTGCAGCGTCCTTACCTTTACTGCAGCGCCACATTGTCAGTTGGAAGCTTAAGCCAAGTAAATCCACCTGCATCCTAAATCTTACTCTTTTACACGATCTCATTGTATTTTATGAATAAGTTCAAGTCCTTCATTGGTTTTGAAACCGTATATCTTGCAGTATGTTGCTAGGCGGACATCCATGGAAGCTAGTGAAATTGAGATGTTTGTAATAAAAGACTTCCATCCTACAAACAACTATTCAAGCTTCCAAAAAGAATCCGATTGTAATTAACAGTCTATTTGGACCTTTACTTCTAATTTTTTAAAAGTTAGGAATGTTCGCTAGCTTATATTGAAGGTTAGAGTTAAATTTGCAAAAAAAAAAGTAAAATATTAGGTCCGCTATTGCAATTTCCCTAATATTTACTCATTTTGCTATTATTTGATTCCCATTATTTTCAAATTCTATTCTTTTTAGTCAAACATTCTTCAATAAAATAACATTACACAGGAATTCAAATTTTTTCCATGTTCTATATTACATATTTTTTCATCAATTTACTATCTCAAAATACATCCTTACGATGAAGTGGGGGTTCAGACAAGCTTTTTATATGTATCCCATCTATTTGTGCGCGCACAATTGACCAGTCCACTGAATGTATCATTTCTACCCATTTTGGATCGTGCGTTGCAAATTAAATGGGTTGATAATAGCCTCGTTGACTTTGTTCGTCGAATTTTTTCTTGTTTCAATTGGTCATTGAATTCCTTTATTACATATATATTTTTATATTTTTGCGATATGAAAACTGAAAAAGTAACAGCACGAATAGTTCAACAAGATGTAGTTGTTCATCTAATCTAAGAAATAAAAAATGATACACTAACGAATTTTTCGTACATTGTAATTTTTTTTAGTCACATTTTTTTAAAAGACAAATGTAGACAGGCAGCCTAATGAATTGAGACAAATGGAAAGTTAGCCTGAATAATGTAAAACAAAAAAAATCCCCCGTTAATAAAAAAAAAATGAGGTTATAAATTATAATTTGGGTGATTATCAATGTTTTTAATCACGAATTATTATTATTTTAAGGGAAATTTGAAGTGGAGGTTCCAAACTTTTCGAAAAAGAATAGCTCGATCTGAAATACCTCGATCTTTCAAAAATGTGTGATGGAAGGATTTTTGCATGGTACAAAAATGAAAATTAAAAATACAGATAGAGACGCTTGAAAATGTCATTTCTTATGAAATAAGACATGAAATGCTATTCACAGTTTTAACAAGTAAATAAAATTTTGTTCTTATTTGTCATCCTTTAACAAATTAAATTGTTTATTACAGTAACATTTTTTACCACACACTGTATTTATAGGTTTTGGCATACCAACAAAAGGTGCAAAGTGCAGGAAACTGATGATGACATGATGAAGGTGACGTATTTTCTTTGTAAGGAAGTTGTGCAAATATGATGCTGAAGGAAGTTATATCCATTTACTTTTTAACATTTTTTACCACACACTTCGTTATAATAAAATATTCTATACACAAACCAATAAAGTTTATTTAAATTTTAACCACACATTCTTCAAAAATACTATTCAAAATTTTATAATTTCTCTCATTAATAGGAGACAGACGGGCTCTTTTTTGTGAAAAAAATAAATGGAGACGTCACTTTTAGATAAAAAGAAAGGGGTAGAATATAAAAGAGAAATATAAAGGAAGAAAAAAATCCATTCTTGTAGAACCTGTGATTACGCACTAATTATTACATGGCTCGTGTGATTTACCAAAAGGGAACTTTAAGGGAAGTGGTTTTATGAAATTAACGAATTCTTTAATTGGTCTTATGCGGGATATGAAATGAAATTGAAAGTCAAAGTCGTGTAATATTTGTTATAAATGGCGTGAATTATAAATAGATATGAATAAGTAATGAATAAGTCTACTACGGGATCTCATATTTTAAAAACGTTGCAATATTGCCTCATTCTCAACTTTCCCAAAAATCTCTTTCTCCACGTAAAGTTGTAAACCACTTAATTATCATTCAACCAATTATCTCTCATTTTGTTGCACAGGTCATTCTTGATTAAATTCATAACAGAGAATACCCTTTCATCACTTACAGTTGCCACAAGTAATATCAAAATCAAGGTGAGCAGCCTATAACCCAATGGAGAAGAACAAGAGCTTTTTGTTTCAACCAACTTCTGAGCTACACAAAATATGGTGTTGATGTTAAAGAAAGCTTCACCCACTCTTACAAGTATAAAAACTTGTTAAATTGAGGTCTAAGTAATAAAAAGTTCTTCACTGTTGAAGTCCCAAGAATAGAACAGAGCAAGATGTAGCAATTTATCCTTATCAAAAGTTGCAAAATGAATCTCTTGGACTTAAACACAAAATTTAAGTAAGGAGCTCAGTAGTTATCTCTGGAAAATGATCATTCAACTCTTGCAAGATTAATTCTATTACATGATAATACAAATCAACATAAAAGCAATGATAATAAGTCATTAGCTGAGCTGCACGCCTAGGTCAACCTCTCAATACTACAATATCCTCCATATTCGCCACTAAAATATGCCCACCAACACAAAACTCAATCACCATACTCAACAAATTATCACAACCGTTGTTTCTCATGTTCTACAGTGCATACTTACACAAATTCAATAACCTCATAGCATTCTAAATATCCCGATACTTTTTTTGTAAAGCTTGTGAAAGATCTTTTGTAATTGCAAGAATTTCAAACATAATGTGGAGACTGAACGCAAACTCAAAATCTTGTATAATGCTCATCTATCTCATGTCCATTGATTTCTGATCTGAATTTATGTCATCTTCTTATATACTCCCAAGAAAATCTATGATAATATTAAACATATTAATAACATGAGTAATTGTCAATAGATGTAAGCCCTATGTAGTATCAACTGGGTGGGCCAAACTCTACTTTTAATTCATCAAGTTGGTAAACTTTGCAAAAACTTCGTTATGAGCACTATCAAAGAGACCAACATAATCTTTCAATGTCTTTTTGTGCTTCCAATACCTAAAACCAGGTTTAGTGAATATATGTCCACCCCCTTGACCCCTCCTCTATGAGGTTTGAACAAATAGCAATGCAAATAATAAGTCACATCCTTTTCTATATACAGAACTCCAACCAATAAATTCAGAGAATCATTCTTTTCCAAAAACACCTATTATCATTTCACATCGGTCTTCTTGAAAAGTCATTTCCATGTGGTTGACAATGACCTTTCTGTAAGTATGCCATCATAACATCATCTCTAATATTATGATCATACGACTCGGAAGGGACTTTTCCTTGGATCAGATACAAGATTATCCATATTGAATGGAGCTCGAGACTTCTTTGTGTTATTTAACAACTCGTGTGCTCAACTAGAAGTAGGGATGGGTCTAGACGCACCATTAGAACTAGAAGAACTATGTATGAACTTTCGTTTCGATTAAAAAAAAAAATCGTTGCATAATCTACAAAATGCCCGAATTTATTTTTAATTAAAAATGATAAAAAAAAAATAGAGGACACGTGGTTGAGTTGAGTCCAACTTCTTCTGCATTAATTTTTTTTTCACTTATCCCTAATCTCCTAAAACTAA